ATGTTTCCCCTCCCAACTCTTTCTCTTCCCCCCCCTCTTTCTCTCCCTCCCATTGTCTCTCTCAAAAAAGAAGCAAACGAAAAAATCCCACAAATATAAAAATCAAAACAGATAAAAGACTAGTAAGACAAAAAACAAAACAAAATGGCCAAAACAGAAAGTCCGAAAAAATACCATTGTATTCATTTTGTGTTGGCCAACTACACCTGGGCGTGGGGCCGGTGACGGAGTGTACTTGATCTACCCAGTGACGCTGCACTGGAGGAAACAGATTTTCTCTTTGCCAGCCAGCAGACATCAACTACAGAGAGCTTCTTGGTTAGGTCTGGCATTATAATACACATGTGTAATTTCATCTCCCTAGGATTCTCTGGCCATTCATCTTAGCTCACTTGACTAGTTCCAGAATAATCCTGAAAGGGAAAACAAAGTTATGAAGTCCTACCCCTTCCTGAAAAGCTTTCACCAGTTAATGGGGAAGTCATTTTCTTTAACGGTATAAACGCTGGTAAGTTGTCCATACTCCAGGAAATAAACCTGCACACCCATTCACACCCATTGAAGCAACCCTAATTAAACTCAATGACACACACAAGCATAGCACAGTTTCTCAGTACTGTATCCCCTCAGATATTAAAGACTGTTTGTATTCTAGAAGCCTCTCTCAGGATCTTGCTACTTGGCCTTCATCTTCAAGGCCAGCTAAAAATAACAATGAAAGCAACAAAGTCAATCATGAACTGAATTCCCTATTTCCATCAGACTGAAGTTTTCAAAGGACTCAAGACGTCTGCACTGAGGACGGCAGAGCTGGAGAGGTGGGCCTACTCAAGCTCCTTGGAGCCCAGAAGATGATGAGTCACCTAGTAAGCAGACCTCCTCCATGGCTCCTGCCTTCAGGTTCCTGCCCCGACTTTTCTTAATGATGGATTGTGACCTGGAGGTGTCATCTGAAATCAGCTCTTTCCTCCCCCAAGTTGCCTGTGGTGAAAGTGGTTTACCACAGCAGCAGAATGAAACCAGACAAGTTCCCGAACTTTCTCCAGTCCACATCACATCACGCCAAGCGTTAGCAATGCTGTCCTGTATCTAATAGCCATTAAACGAGCCCACTCATAATAGGGATCCATTGGCTAGAGCTCTGCGGTTCTTAAACCAGCTTCAGGCCCTCGGCAGCACCAGCCCATTCCACTCCCACACACAACGGTTTGGAAAGTCTTCACTTAATTCGGGCTCCTTAATCAGCAACTCAGTATGGTGAGGTGTTTATCCACTGTTTACTGAATGTTCATTTTACACCCATCACCGAGCCTGGGTGTTCAGAAGACAGAAGTGAGTGAAACACCATTATAACTGAAAAAAAAATTCACAGTTCAGATCCCCAGGGCTCTCTGGCTATTCAGTCTATCAGACTTGGCTAGTTCAAGGTCAGGTCATTTGCTACCCTTAGAGGAGATAATCACTGCCCACCACACATTCCCAACTTAGTTCAGTGTGTGGCCCATAGAATGCGTCTGGTTCATAGACCGAGGCTGTCCGTAGACAGGATGAATACTCCCACCTCCGTTAGGCATCTCTGGAGGTGCTCTCACAGACAGGTCTGGGGGCTTCCAATCTCCTGAGAGATGACAGTTGAGAACCACCACGTGTTTCTTTTCTCTGTAACACAATGCATTTGTTTGACATACTGGTTGAAGAAATTGCAAGACCACTGGGTACATATAGGGAGAACTGGAATTAGTAACTTTTGCCACGTGGAAACTGGGACAGGAGTAGACGCGCTCAGGCCACACACCTGCCAGCCAGCCTTGTTTTGTTAAGAGCGATGCAAGTGATTGAGGTCCCACTGTAGGCTCCAGTTTCAATTGCCCCAATCACTCCTACAACTATAGTGTGTTTTCCTTATTCTCCCCAGTAATTACCATTGTGTTTAGTCATCAACAGCCCTGATTTACGCAAGCTCCTTTCAAGTCAGTCACTCTAGCACTTAAAAACAATAGCTTTGAATGGAGTTATTTCCTGGGAGAATGTTAAATGTTTCCGAGTTCAGATAGCCAAGGAAAGGCGGTTCCCTCCATGTAAGGAAAGAGAATGAAACGCTTTCTGGCAGCTAGACCAAGATAAAGTGTTCAGACAAGTCCTGTGGCAGGTTGGGAGTGAATGGGAGTAACTTGTTGTTTCCTGTCTAAAACTGGACTACTGGTGGATACGTTCGGCTTCCTTATACAACTTGCCTTTAATTACTGATATAAAGCCTGATAGGGCCCCTCCAGGGATCACAGATAACCTTTAGCCATTCTGTCTGCAAACAATAGCGGGGCTGCAAAGGAAAGCTGGCTGGTTTGAATGATTTCAAGGGGCCTTAGCTGTGTCTTGTTTCTTGTTAAAGTTTCAAACTGCTCAGCTAGCCAAACTGTGGTCTAGGTCCTAATTTCAAGTCTTTTATTTGCAAGGTCACACTCCAAAGCCTTATGTATCAGACTACAGGCTGAACCTGAAACCTGAGAAATGGGGAGTTAGACACGGGGTACACAGTATGCGATTTCACAGGGTAACTTAAAGGGAAGTGGAAACCTTCCCATGCTCAGGGGAAACCATGTGTCTAGCAATTTAGTGCCCTAATGTACATGTAATGAAGGCAATTTTAAAGAAAACACAAGTGGCTGCTGAAGACTCAAATGCCATCAAGTTAGCATGACATTTCTTGCCTGCGGTTCTAGAATAAGGACCCTATAAGGTGGGTCTTGGATACGAGAAGCAAATAGATCATTTAAAATATAGACAGTGGTTTAAACAGAATTGAACAAAAAGGTGTTGAAAAAGTGACGGGGGGGGTCACAAGATTCCTTGCAAGATGTTCCACCTTCTGTCACCCTAGACTGACCTCCTAGATGGCCATCCTTGTCATATCCTCATCCACAGGTGACCAGAAGGGAGTGTCAACAAGTGTTCAATCAAGTCCACTTACAGACTTTGTAATGAGACTGTAGATTCTTCAACAGGAATAATGAAATAACTTAGTGAAAATATTTATCCTGTGAAGAAATTCCAGTGTACCTTCCAGTCCAGCTCACCTGGCGTGATCAAAATTTCTTCTGTTGACAACCTTGTTAAATACTAAATTTTTGTCTTCTTAAGGGGCTAATCCTTGAAAATAAAAGAAGGGCAATAATAAAAGCAAATTGATTGTTATAGTTAGCTTTTGGTCACCTTGACATAAACTAGAGTCATTTAGAAAGAGAACCTCAGTTGAGAACCAGCTTCCATTTGATTGACCTGTGGGTCATTTCCTTGATCAGTGATCAATGTGGGAGGGTCCAGAGAAACCCTGTCTCAAAAAACCAAATCAAAACAACAACAACAAAAAAAGCAAGTTGAGCAAGCCATGAAGAGCAAGTCAGCAAGTAGCATTTCTCCATGGGCTCTGCTTCAGTTCCTGGCCTGAATTCTTTCTCTGACTCTTCTCAGTAATGATCTGTGATTTGGGAACTCTAATGGCAAATAAACACTTTCCTTCCTTCGCGAGTTGTTTTTAGTTGCAGTGTTTATTTACAGCAACAAAAATCAAGTGAGGACATCAATATTGCAAGGGGGACGATAACTTTGAGAGCTGCATTTTGGAGCCAAGGCCTCTTGACTTCACTTAGACTTGTGAAATTGCCTTTTTTCCAAACAGGAACAACCTAGCAAATTTATCCTATCTTTCTTCAATTCCAGAGAAGCACCTGTTTATGAATAGGGCTAAATCATACGTAACTAAAATTTCTTGAAGAAACACAGTAAACTCAGTTTAAAACCTTTGCTACTTCTCCCCTGTGTAATCTGTGATACAAATTCTGATAAAAGGATTCCTATGTTTACACTGGACAATGGTTCAAAACACTGCTGTACTTAGAAAATAAACTGGCAACCTCTCCTTCCTTAGGTATGAAATTGTGCAAGATATAGATGCCTTGATAATTTCATAGATGATGCCTTGATAATTTCATAGATGACTTACTCTCCATGGTGCAGAGTAAGTCAACCAGGGCCCATTCTGGCTGATGGACATATTCAAGGTCATCTACCTATGATTTTCATCTAACACTGTAGATATTGTTACAGTCAACACTGTGATCCTCCAGCATTTATGTGTTGAAATCCCAACTCGCAAGATGATGAAGCTTCTGGGAGTTTATCAGTTCACAAGGGATCCATGCTCACAAACTCTGAGAGACTTGTTAATCCCTTCAACAGGACACAGCTAAAAGGTACCATCTTTGAGAAGGCATTATCTCCCCAGTCTCTTGGCAACTTGATCTTGGATTTTCTAGCCTTTGTCCCTGTGTACAATAACCTCTGTTGCCTGTAACTGATTCAGTCTAAGGTGTTTTGTTGTAGGGTCACATTCAGACTAATACAGGCACCCAAGGCTAGAGCTTCTTCTATTATCTAAGAAAGAAATGCCTGCCATTTTATCCCCCATTCCCCTGGGATTGCAAGCAACTAATAAAATGGCTACACATCCCATTTGTTATTTATGCTCAAAAGAGTAGACCTTGGCCCCTTTGGCTTAAAATGAAAAATAGACTGAAGAGCTATTCTGCTATTCTTCATTTAGTCAAAGGGGGAAAAGAAAGAAAACATGGATTTGGTGTAACAGCTGCAAGAACTTTTGACACATGAAGTAAGATAGATACTGAAATTGATACTAAAGTAGATAGTAAAGTGTTGAGAGCGTGGGACTTTGAGAATTAGCACTGAATTGATCTGCAGAATGAGGCATCTGGCAATCTGGCATGCTTTTGTTCTTCGGGTCCTGTGGCCATCAGGTCCCTTACAGCTGTTGTCAGGGACCACTTAGGTACTTTCCATCGCAGTAATTCTGGTGGAGAATAAGCAGCCAACTTGGATGAGTAGGCAATCAGCTGACCTTTGAGTGGACATTAAAATCAGAAGACTATATTTGCGGCCTCTTAAGTACTGTGTCTCAGAAGAGAAGGGACGGTAGGAAAGCAAAGACAAGCACGAACTGGAGGACACCTCCCTTCAAGTGTGCACCTGCCCTAAGGCTTTTCAGAGTGTGGCTTTTCTGCTCCCTGCAGACACACAGGAGCTTTCTCTACACAAGCCCAAGCCTTGTTCCGAATTTCAAGGTAGGTCTGGAGGAACAGAACTCAGGATACTGGGAAAGAGTATGAGATGTTTTGGGTTCCTTTTATCCTTGGGATGCACAGGGACATGTCCACATGGCCAATTACATCCCTGGTACTTTGTATGGAGGAGCCAGTAGTTTTCCCACCCTGCCCCCTTGCTGTGTTTAATCAGCATTTGTCATTGATAGCAGTGTGGTTTTCTTCTTTTCATACATCCACATAGAATCTATACTTTGCTTCTGGAATGCCCTGTAGTTGTTCTGTGCTGATGCTGGGATTGGATCCTTGGGGCAGTCACCTAAAACCTTCGGCCACTAGAACAGTAGGATGCTCGTCTATATCATTGGGCATTACCTTAGATCCTCTCTAACTCCCTTTCTCATACTTCCTCCCCTCCCTCTTTCTCTCTTTGGCTTCTACTATCTGCTGTCTTGCTGTTTTGTTCTATTTTACTCAATAGTAGCAAATCTCCAGATATAAAAATAGCATGGTTTTTAGACATGCAGGACATCCTAAATAAAGTTGGGTGGCTATGTCAGTCATATACAGCTGTGAAGAATGTTACTCAACGTTTTGTGGCTTCAATAAAAACAAACGTTTATCATCAGGGATTCATAAAAGGTTTATCTGGACATTTCTGTTTCTCAGCAGACCAAAATATTGGTCAGGTTGACAAGAAAGTCATAAAGTTTATGTGGATATGCAAAGTGTCTAGATTAGACAAAGCAATCTAAACAGAACAAAATTGAGGAGTTTCACGGTTCAATTTCAAGACTTATTACAAACCTGAACTGTCAAGAACACTATAGTAAACAAGGAGGCCTTACTAGTCAGAGGTTGCAATCTACCATGACCTGGCCGTTCTCTCTGAGCATGGGAACATGGATTACTCCCATCCCTAAACCCCCTGCAGAAGACAAGCAACGTCCAAGGCCATTGAGAACGTATTTCCAACCCAGAATTTGATTCCCATTCCAACTATCAGTCAAGTATGGCGAGAACACACACACACACATGCTCTCCATGTGGGTTCTCAGGTGTTTATCCTCCTAAAACAATGGAGTAACCACAGATAAAGGGATGCCAGGAAGCTGGACCCAGAGTCTGGGCACTTGAGATGGGAAGGAGGCTTTTGGGAGGAGAGAGCAGGGGATTTCACCTCGCCTAGGAACAGCAGCCAGAGAGCCAGCAATCCATTGCACATTCCCTGACATCGTGACCACATTGACAGGAGCTTTGCCATTCTGGTAATGATTCACTTCACAATTAGTTATAGGTGAATTAAAACTGAGCATATTGAAAGTAACAGTAAAGACAGGCTCAGCTGTGCATTGTGTTACAGAGAAAAGAAACACGTGGTGGTTCTCAACTGTCATCTCTCAGGAGATTGGAAGCCCCCAGACCTGTCTGTGAGAGCACCTCCAGAGATGCCTAACGGAGGTGGGAGTATTCATCCTGTCTACGGACAGCCTCGGTCTATGAACCAGATGCATTCTATGGGCCACACACTGAACTAAAGGGAAACGCAATGGATCACCAGCGTGCATCTCTCTCTGCTTCCTGTCTGAGGACACAGTGTGACCAGATGCCTCAGGCTCCTGCCACCATAGCTGAGAAGGCTGACTCCACCTCCATGGTCCCCAACACAGAGACTGTGACCTCAGCTCATTAGCCATAGCAGATTTCTCTTTCCTTATGATGCTTTTGTCATGGCAATGAGATGATGAACTGATGAAAATAGAAATGCAATGTTCTAGAGACTCAGCTAAGATAATGTTTAAATGGTCATGATATTATAAGCAAAGATTATCTAGCTGCAAACTGAAACTGTGGTATGATTACACGTGAGAATTTGGGGGTGGGAAGGTGTAGGAGTGAACCCCACAAAGGAAGGAGCTGAAATGTCAAGGCAGAAGGCAGTTTTAGAGAATGTGTTTTGTCTTCTGTCAGGCTTGTTATCTTAAATTTTAAAATCCAGGGCCTGGGCTAATGGCTCATAAATACAGTGGTGGCTGGGCAAGCAGCAGGATCTGAGTGTTGAACCCCACTCATCACATAAAGACTGGGACACAGAGACAGGTTAATCATTGGAGCTCACTGTTCAGTCAGTCTAGCCTAGTCAATGAGGACTGGGTTCAGTGAGAGACCCTGTTTCATAGATAGGTAGCACATACATACATACATACATACATACCACACACACACACAATGTAGAGGGCCATAGAGGACGATACCCGATATTGACCTCTGGCCTACACACACACACACACACACACACACACACACACACACACACACACACACCTACATGGGCACATTTACAAATACATACATATGCATGCCCCCCAAAAAGGAAAGAAGTCTACCTAGAAGATTTGGCAATGTAGTTACTCATAAGCCTGTATGATTTTCATGGATTTCAGGCTCAGGGAGAGCAGGACCAGAATAGGAGTGGGGTGAAGGGGATGCTGGGTTACGAAGGTCACGACTTTGACTGTCCCGCTCTTAGGTGAAGGAGTGGATTGGGACAATAAAAGGGAGGTGGGGAGAGGGAATAGGAGAAGAGGAGGGACAGGGAAACTGTGATTGGTATGTAAAATATATTTTTAAAATGATGAATAAAAATATCAAGTTTTAGGAAAGATGAGGACAAAATGGAGAGAAGAGATGAGGTTCTGCCCTATGTAAGGCATCTTAAGGGGGTGATCAAAAAAGAATACTGTAAATCAGTCCTGCAGAAAAGAGGATTTCACAAGGCAGAAGAGAAAAAGGCAATTACAAGTGCAACAAATGAACCAAGCGAGCAGAGGATTGAACACGCAGTGCTTGAGGTTGGGGACAACGAACATAAATATTAAAGAAGCAGGAACAAGCAGAATTCCGTGATTCCTTTGGATGGATCATGAGTCTAAGACACTGGATTCTTGGTATACAGAGGCTTAAAAATTTTTGCTTTGAAGCAGAAAAACGGCCTGCATTTGGATGCCATTCCATTCCACAGAATCAAAATAAAAACCCAGAAGTTTCAGTTGGTTAGCATTAGCTATTGATAAAACACTGGCCCACAGGAGACCCGAGGCTCTTGTCATGAACGTTTTATATACATGTAAGGGATGCTTGCACTCAGAATAGCTTTAACGTGGGGGCTGTGTCTGAATCGTTGGGTTGTGCTCCTGCCAAGAAGATTGCCAGGTGCTAGGTGCCACTAGGCTTCCCTGCCCCCAAACCAGGTTCCCATGAGTCCCTGGGAACTAGAGGAGAAAGTTTAGGCAGGAGAGGCTGAGAATTTGTGATGATTCGAGATATCCTTATGAAAACAAACAAACAGTTTGTCCTAGATTCTCTGGAGATAGGGTCGACAGTGTTTGGCTTGCCTATTGACTGGCTTAGCATAATATTTTCTCAATCTTCCTACCGTATCAATTTCTGACAGTACAATTGAACTGAGGCACAAGGGCATTGTCTACAAGACCAGTTGAGGAAATTGGGAACTTGGTCACAGGCTGTAAATATCCTCTTGGTCTCTCAGTGTGTTTATTCTGAAGTGCTCTCTTACAGAGTTGAGAGGGTTATGGGACACACTGGCACCAGGTTTTCAGTGGGAAAGATCAGTGGTTGAGATAAGGGTTGGGGGTCCGCCTTGAGACGTGCCATGAAGAAAAGATCTGATTTTGTCCTTAGATTCCCTCAAAAGGGTGGTGAATTCGACTATAACAATAGAGTATTCAGAGGAGTACTTGGAAGGCAGGAAAAGGACTTTTTAAACATAAATGTCCCAGAGTCTTAAGGGAGGAGAGCACCACTCCCTCTTGTACCAGGGATGCTGATTAACCATCAATAAGAAGGCACTAGAAGTAGACTCCTACTTCTCACAGAACAGTGTAACTCAAAGGACAGCAAAGTCCGCAGAAGCACTGTCCCCAGAGAATAGAGGCACATGACTCAGTGTGGGTGGTCCTGATTGAACTCAGTAGGGTGAGCTTGTTTATAAGTGTCCTAACAGATTTCCTTACTCTAGAGGCAAGATCATTAGCAAAACACAGGGTTAGAGTACAAAGGAGGAAAAGAAATATCGCACCCCAGGACATTACATCTAAAGAAATAGGAAAAAGAACCAGGCTTATGTGGGAAGAAGAGAGAGGGAGAATCCTGTAGACTCATTCATTAAGAGTTACACAGGTCAACAGAACGATTCACACAAGTGGGTGGTCCCCCAATCCAAGCAGGCAAGAGCTACTCTGAAACTAAGCAACACACACACACACACACACACACACACACACACACACACACACTGAATGAAAGATGGGCTTCTCCGTGTGTCTGCAATTCTTCAAATTGAAATCTCTTGTTTGTATTTAGTATGGAGTGTTTTCCCTAAAGGATATCCTGTTTGAGATTAGCATTGGCTGGTTCCTCTGAACATCCTTAAAGAAACATCCAGGGAAACGAAATAAGCCCCACCCCTCCAGTGATAGGCCAAGTGATTTGCCTTCAGGACATCAGAGAGTCTTAGCATAAGGGAGGACACAGCCTCACATCCTCTGACTGATTCCTGCTGTATCCTAACACTGACAGCCTCACTGATCTCATTGATTGACACAATCCACGTGAAGCATTGCAAGTGAATAGATGTGAGGCTAGCACCCAGTCGTCAAGCCTACAAAATAAGGATAAATGTTTAATTCACAGGGTCATTTGGAGAATCAGATGAGCAAACATATATAAAAGGTACCCTATAGCTTATGATGCACATGGCATGTATTATTGTTATGCATCCTGTCCCCATTGGTCTGAAGTTAGTGTCCTAGCCTAACAGAAGGAATGAAGGAGCAACAGAGAAAACAAAATACTGGGAAAGGTTTTCACAAATGTAACTCAACAAGAGTCAATGTACTCTTTGTAAGCTTAAAAAAATACCCAAGCAATAATATAATATTGTTCTCTCAGATCAAAGGTTCAAATTTTCTAATCACTTTGTCTATTGCCTCTTTTGTCAAGCACTAAAAATGTAAGACCAATTGTGTTAATGTGTGGGAAGTAGAAATTAAGAACAAATAGTATGTGACCCAGGAAATTGTCTATCACTACTCTGAAGCGGCTACATCCTTCCAGTCTCTTAGAACAGGCTCCCCCAAAGTTTGCCTGGATAGTTAAAGTAACATTGTAACATTCGTAACTCTCATTTGTTTTATCTTTGCAGGATCACACTAGTCTCTGTGTTCATGGTCTACCTCTTTGTTCCCTTCGCTTTTATTTAGAAATGCTCACTTTTATAAGTAGGTCTATTGCTGAGGTTTTACTTGAAATGAAAACATAAGAACCCTTTTCCCCTTCGTTTGCTATCTCTGAAGTCAGAAGCAGTTCCTTCCTTTGGGAAGCATTTCTCCCTCTCCTTCTGTAGCATCCACATCCAGAGTGGCAGAAAATACCCATCCTATGAGACCTAGAACAGTCTGTGGATTTCTGTAAATCACAGCACAAATTATGTAACACTGCAATTACTTATTTGTATATTTCCCTGTAAAGACCTTAAAGAGAGAAATTGTGTCAAATGTATTTTTGTAGTTCTTGAATTTTGTACAGTCCTTGGCATAAGTCAAGTTCAATGACAAATGGGGTTTGTGTACTTGCCTGAGGATTTTAAAAGTCAGGTCAGGCAGCTATCCTTCCAGGGTGCTTTGAAATTTAAGCTTGGTGGAGGCAGGGAGATAGACAGGAGAGTGTCTATCTGCATCTTAGATACTCCTCGTTTCCTAGACCTGATCTGAGAATACAAAAGACAGTGATTTATTTATAAAGGATAGAAACGGGATAAAGAGAGGTTACTATGGAATATTTTCCACAACTCCAGGAAAAGGACAGAAAATACACCATTTTGTTCTCACAATAACCGTGAGTGCTTGGTGGTTATAACCTCCCTTTTACAGATTAATAAGCTGGAAGTTGGAAAGCTATCTTAATCTTCCAAGGTCATATAACTTCTTAGTGACAACTCTGAGATGTGAACTATAGTACTCTGCTTTTTGTTTGTTTGCTTGCTTGGCTTTTATACAAAGCAAAAGGCTACGTCTTTCTGAGACCATTCTGTATAAATACTTTGGAGAGAATATTAGGTCCTTACTAAAATACACAAAACCCAGCACATCATTTCTATAAGTGTTTTGGAAAGGAAAGACATAGAAAGGAACATTTTTATATTTAACACCAGATGCTTCTGGCTCCACACCCTCACGCTCTGGGATCAGCACCACCACATGGAGGAGTCTGAGAAGTTCTGGACACTGTCAAGAGATCCACAGATGTGTGCCAAGAGTCGGAGAAGCCCAATGACACCATTGCCTCCACACTGGGAGCTGGCTGTGGAAGAGACTTCCAACTGGCATGTGTGTGGTCCAGGGTGGGACAATGAAACATCAGGAGCTCACGTGGGAACTAAATGACTCGAGCTTGCCCAAGAAGACATTCCCCAATTTCACACCAACACATCTCCCAGCCCCACCTGAGCACCTAACTCCAGCTAAGGGATGTGGCGACTCACCAAGGAGATTGATCTAAGCCAGTGTTGTCTGGGCCATTTATAGTGGGAACATGGAGAAGTCTTCCAAATGTCGTTTTTCAAGCTGGACTTGGATACTCAGTTAGTAAACAGATGGCTGCAGGAGTTTCTAGTGAGATCTATATTTCACTGGCCATTTAACATTCGAACAAAAATCACAGTTATCAGAATCACAAAATTGTCAAGAAAACTAAAACTTGAATTCCAGTTCACATCTAACAACAGTATTTATTCTACATTAATATATATTTTTCTTACATTTTAACAT